TCAGAAGAACAGAAGGTTTTGTGGTTGCCAGATGTGCTGATACACATAGGGCCACAGGTGATTGGTGTTTTTGCAGTAAGTTAGGATGGTCCTAGTCAGCGAAGAATTGCCCTAGTGGCCCCTTTCCTAAGCACTGTTCTATAGTAGAAAGTTAACATGTCACTTTTGTTGAAAATAGTTCCCCCTATTTTTTACTTTTCTAATTTCCTTCTGACAAAAAGAAATAAAATTTTTTTCATGAAGTCAGATCTATTTTTCTCATTATTTATTTCATTGTTCATGAACCTGAGCAATTATTTAATATCTAGCATTTAGATAAATATTCATATTATTCCTAGTTTCCATGGGGGTAGGGGTACACAGTTTTGTGAAAAAGAAAAGTAATTTCCTAAGATCTTCTAGATTTAAATGCAAACAACAGTAATAATCGTGAAAGTAAGACACTTAAAAAGTACATTAATATTTAAGTGGCCTTTTGAATAATTGTTTTTTACAGGTCTGTATTATTGTAGAACACTTGGGAAATGAAGCTAAAAAAATCATATGACCCTTTCATTTAGGGATAGGCTCTTAGTATTATCCTGTTTCCTACTATTTTATTTTATTATACAGATAACATTTTTATTCTTAAAACTTTTTATTAATTTTAAATTGGGAAACTAATACAGGAATATATTCTCACTGCAAAAATGCAAGTCTTCCATTTAAAGCTAAAGATTCCCATTGACCTCCATTCCTACTCTTAGTCTCCTCTGACAGAGTACTGTCGATACGTAACTCTTTATCTGTAGAAATGGAGTATTATTTGAGTGTGTAAACAAGATATTTACATGCAACTTGCTTTTTTTAAATTTTCAAGTAACTAACAGGATTTTTGGATAGAGTATATAGACTTTTAAAACTGCTATGTAATATTTAATAGCATGTGTATACCAGAATTTATTTAGCTGTTCTCTCATTGTGGGATGTTTTGGATGTTTTCTTTTTGTTGTTACAGTGTTACAAGACAGCATTCTCACACATGCCTATCCTTTCATGTATATTCATTTATTTATTAAATACTGATTTCTTGTCATAGCCAAGCATTATTTGAGGCACTAGGAATTAAGAGGAGAGCAAAATTGAAAAGGTATATCATATCATGGGGCTTATATTCTAGTAAGAAGAATAGGTATAAAAACTTGAATTCATAATAAAATATCAATTAGCAATAAATAATTGGAAGAAAAATAAGGCAAGTAAGGGGATATAAAGTGTTAGAGGGCAAGAACTGCTCCTTTGAATATACTGGTCAGGGATGGTTTCCATGTGGAGGGGATACTTGAGCAGTGACTTACACTAAGTGAGGGAATGAACCAGGGGAAGATCTAGGGTAAGAGCATCCCACACAGAGGAAATAAGTATGAAAGACCTGATGAAGGACGAGGCCTTGGGATGTTTGGAGGACAGCTGGAACACGTGTCTGAAGGAGAAGAAGCATGTTAGATGAAGTCATGGAGGGCGTTAGGAGCTAAAATATTTAGATCTGTGCTTTCCAGTGCAGCAGTAGCTATGAACCACATGCAGTTATTGAGTACTTGAAACATGACCATCGTAAATTGATAACCACTAGATTTCTGAGACTCACTACCCAAAAAAGAATGTGAAATATCTCATTAATAACATTTTTGTGTCAATTATATGTCAAAATAGTATTTTGGACATACTGAGTTGAATAGATTATTATTATATATCTTTTTAAAAATGTGGCTGCTACAAATTTAAAAACTATATGTGACTCATTTCTATTGGACAGTGCTAGTTTAGGTTCTTAAAATGCATGAAAAGACATTTTGAATTTTTTTTTAAGTTTATTTTTAGAGGGCTAGAGAAGGCACAAGTCGGGGATGGATGGTTGGAGAGGGAGGAAGAGAAAGAATCCCAGGCAAGTTCTGTACTGTCAATGCAGTGCCCTATGTGGGTCTTAAACCCATGAAACCATGAGATCATGACCTGATTCAAAACCAAGAGTTGGACACTTAACCAACTAAGCCACCCAACTGCACCCATGGCAAGACATTTTGATTAAATGTGATAGACATTAGAAAATATTAGAGGAATGAGGTGGTAAATCATACTTTTAAAGAATCATTCCACTTTGGTTATTCTAATGAAAATAGAAAATAGAGAACTAAGTAAAAGCAGGAGAAACCAATTAGGAGGCAATTGCCATATTCCAGATAAGAAATAATAATAGTAAAGAGGGCGAGAGCATTTGGGATAATTTTTTAAATTTATTTTTTATTTTTTTAGAGTGAGAGCATGAGTGGGGGAGGGGGCAGAGAGAGAATGAGGACTCTTAAGGGGGCTCAACATGGAGCCCAATGCCAATCTCAGTCCCACAATCCTGGAATCATGACTTAAGCTGAAATCAGGAGTCGATGCTCAACCCCCAGGTATCCCAGGATAATTTTTGAAGTTAAAATTCAGTCAGTGCCAATTGGACTTCCTAATAAAGTAAACTTTTTATTGAAATACAGCATACTAAAAACTACATAAACTCTTAAGTGTAGCCCAATGTTTTCCCAAAGTGAATTCTCCTATGTAAGCAGCCCTCAGAATAAAAAACAAAATAAAACACTATCCTGGTAGCTCCCACTTGTGCTCATAATTCTATAAATTAGTGGTGGTATTCATTTCAGTTTCAAAGTCCCAGAGCTATAGGATTTTTTTTACGTTGTGGGCTAGAATTGAGAAACTTGGAAAATTATCAAAGGTATGTCTAAAATGTTAAGAGTGGGAAGCATGGGTGGCTCAGTTGGTTAAGCATCAGACTTCAGTTCAGGTCATTCATGATCTCAGGGCTCCTGAGTTGGAGTCCCATGTGCTTCTGATTCTGTGTCTCCCTCTGCACCATCCCCCAGCTTGCACTCTCTCTCACTCAAAAATAAAGAAATATTTTAAAAAGTTTTAAAAAGGTTATAGGTAACTTAAGGTTTTTTCTGACCTATCATAAATTAGGCCTGCTTTTCCAATTGGGAGTTTGTTTTCAAGAGCACAGTACTGTATCTAGGAAATTAATTCTGATTATAAACAATTTGGGGCAATATTGTCTATACTATAGTAATTTTATAAGAATAGAAATTTCCACCTGGGATATTGTGGTTAAATTAGTAGCTGTAGAAGATAAAGGATAATCAGGTACTAACTAGTTTTTAAGATAAGATAGTTTCCTCAGATTTATGGATTCAACATATCCTCAATTTCAAATGTGCAGGAATTGAAATTCTGTACAAGTAAACAATGCAACAAACACTTAATGCAAGATATTAAAATTACTAAGTTTTGTTTTATTTTCAGGAAGTCTGCATAACCTACTGGAGGATTGAAAGTTTAGATTTTTTTTTGCTTTGTTTCATGTGAAACAAATTCTAATATCCATTTTATCTATTAGAAATAAAAAATTGAGAAGTCATGAGAAAATGGTATTTTCCCCCCCTTTCCCATGCAGTAATGGCAAAAGTGAATATACCAACACTTGGGTTGAATTTTAATGCAATATAATCTCTTTTCTATAATTTAATCCCTAATTTATGTGTTTGGGATCTGTAAAATTGATAAGGGATGTTGGTTGATACATAAACATGCATGTGTGATGAAATTGTGTAGAGCTAAATAAGAAGCACAAAGATGAATGCCAGTAAAACTAGAAAATGTGAATGGGATAAAGGATTATATCAGCCTTGTTCTGCCTTTATGCTACAGTTGTGCTATTAGACATTTTCCTAAAATGTTACCATTGGAGGAAAATGGGTAAAGTATACACTGTATATTATTTCTTTTTTTTTTTTTTTAATGTTTATTTATTTCTAGGAGACAGAGAGAGAGACAGCGTGAGCAGGGGAGGGTCAGAGAGAGAGGGAGTCACAGACTGAAACAGGCTCCAGGCTCTGAGCTGGCAGTCAGCACAGAGCCTGACGCGGGGCTCGAACCCACGAAACGTGAGATCATGACCTAAGCGAAAGTCGGACGCTTAACCGACTAAGCCACCCAGGCACTCCTATTATTTCTTACAGTCTATATTGAATCTACCTAAAAATTGATAAAGGGAGGAATCTGGGATGAAGAATATAGATTTTATAGATTTTTCACAGCTTCACTGGACCTGTTACACACTGCTTGCAGAGCTACCACCTTAGATAATTTTCAGAAAAGCATATACATTTCAATCTCTATTCTGAGCAGATGAACCTGTCATTTTTATAGTCCATAATTTTGGATGCTTTTTAAACTAAGTACCTTTATTTCTTCTGCTCTTTACCCTGTCATTTCCCACCAGGAATCATGATTGAAACATCTTAAGTCCTTCAAATAAATGCTGTAGCAAAAGAATGTTAACTAATAGCTATCTGCTGTATAGATAAAAGTACACAAAGTATGTCACTTATTGGTATTTTTTGTCTATATTAGTATATCACTACAGGCCCTTGCTCATGATCAGAAAATAGTCTCATATGTAATGTGCTTTTACTCAGAGAGGAAACCTATACCATATATTTCTATCATTAAAATGTCCCACTTTCTTCCTTGATTTATTTTTGGTATTTTTTAGGAATTTGAATTTCTTTTTAAAACACCGCTTTAATCAAAACATTCATTTTTGTTTTCAAGGAGCAAAAGGATTGGATCAGTCTGTCCTTGAGTTTTCTCTGTTTAATCTTGTGGAGTTCACTCATCATACAGACAATACAGTTTTTTGTTTGGGTGGCAATCTACATTAGGTTGTTAAAATAGAAATTTTATTATATTAGGCTAAGGCTTTTCTTTTATGTCTTTTCTATCTGCTTCACAAAATGCAATCTAATCTCAAAAACAAAAAGAATCCATATTGTCATGGGGTAAATATCAAAATAAGTTCAACTACATTTCTTGTTTATGCACTAGAATTTTTTCCCCCAGAAATTTATAAAAAAATTTTTATTCTTTTGGTCTGTTTGTCTGAAACTGCATTTTATTCATAGATTGAAGTATTGGAGCCATGGGAATAAAGGTTCAGCGCCCTCGATGTTTTTTTGACATTGCCATTAATAATCAACCTGGTAAGAAAATTAATACTCCTGTGTAAAATTTATAAATGAATATTCAGTATTTTAAATTGGTAAAGTATAAACCAGCTTTATTCTCTTTCAGCTGGAAGAGTTGTCTTTGAATTATTTTCTGATGTGTGCCCCAAAACATGCGAGAACTTTCGTTGTCTTTGTACAGGTTTGTTGACATTTTCAGTTGCCCTGATACTAGTCCCATTTGAGTATGGTTTTAATTTTTTAATTTAACATATTTTAGATTTCCCCATGCAAATTATGTACCATTGACCAGGATGTGAAAGTAATTCTTAAAAATACTACATCGTTGGGGCTCCTGGGTGGCTCAGTTGGTTAAGCATCTGACTCTTGGTTTTGGCTCAGGTTATGATCTCACCATGAGTTGGAGCCCAGCATCAGGCTTTGTTCTGGCAGTGCAAAGCCTATTTGGGATTCTTTCTCTCCTTCTCTCTCTGTGCCCCTTCCCTGCTTGTGTTCTCTCTCTCTCTCAAAATAAAGAAACAAATAAAATATTAAAAAAAAAAAGAAAGAAAAAGAAATACTACTTTGTTGAGAGACAGTGAGAGAGCACACAAGTAGGGGAGAGGAGCAGAAGGAGAGAGGGAGAGGGTGGGAGAGAGAGAGAATCTTAAACAGGCTCCATGCTCAGCACAGAGTTTGATGCAGAGCTCAGTCCCATGACCCTGGGGTCATGACCTGAGCTGAAATCAAGAGTCAGATTCTCAACTGACTGAGTCACCCTAGTACCCCTAGAAATACTATTTGCAGTGGGCTTTTATCTGAGATTGATTTCTACATTTCTACACTCTCCAGAAAAACATTGGTGATTTTTAAATGAACTTAAAACAAAATTCCTGAGGGGAGTGAAAATTCTGTAGTTTAAAGACGTCTACATAGTTCAAGAGAGGTATATTTTACAGGAAAAAGCTTTCATCATTATTTTTGCTTTAATACTGCTTCCTTGATTTTTTTTTTTTTCCCCACTAAATGCCTTACTAATTTTTCTTCTCTATAGGTGAAAAGGGGACAGGGAAATCAACTCAGAAACCATTACATTATAAGAGTTGTCTCTTTCACAGAGTTGTCAAGGATTTTATGGTTCAAGGCGGTGACTTCAGTGAAGGTAAGACTTTGAATCTCACAAAAGAAAATCATAATACTTTGTTAAGTATCATAGACCTTAAAGTTAGACAAGTCTCTAGAAGTACTCATAGACAAAAGAAGTTTTAAACTGTAAAAACACTGAAATTATAATTTTAAAGACATTTTTTAAAAAAATCTAACTTTTGTTCAAAGATCTACATAATCATTAGAAGCTGAGTTTTCTTTTTTCCACAAATCGTAATAGGCTTTGTCACATTCTTACTGTTGTGTCCTAGAGAAAAGAAAGTAATTTGGCAAGTAAAGATCTTGTCAGTAATGATTTAATGTCTTTTATGATTTGCTGTGAACCTTTGAGTATTTCTTATTCGAAGTCATTTAAGCACCTACTTTGTAAGCAGCATTTTGTTTAGGTGGCATCTTCAAAGAGATTACTGTCGTGGGAGTTCAAGAGTCCATGTTTCTCATTCTTAGGGAATGGACGAGGAGGGGAATCTATTTATGGAGGATTTTTTGAAGGTAAAGATGTTTACATTTAAATTGTATTTTTAATGTTTTCTGTATTTGATATTTCTCTGTTGAATCAATAAGATTATTAAATAGTATACCGATATCCACCTACATTCAGTGAATCTGAAAGTTAATTTTTTGTGAAAACATTTCTATGATAGACTTTTTATAGAAGTAGGTTTTTTTGTATGGTTAGAACATTAATACACTATATTATTTGAAGGGTTTCAATGATCTATAATAAACTCTTAGAATTACAGTGCTAGATGGGCACTTCCACAGCTTTACCTTAATCTTTATTAAAAGAGATTTAGCAATCTTTATTAAGAGAGATTTCGTACTAACAGTATAACCGTACTCACATGTTAAGTGGGTCCATTTTCTGTGCACTTTTTTAATCTTTTTTTTTTTTTTAAGTTCATTTATTTTGAGAGAGAGAGAGAGAGAGAGAGCAGGCATGGGCAGAGGAGAGGCAGAGAGTGAGAGAAAGAGAATCCCAAGCCAGCATGGAGCCCGATGCAGGGCTTGAACCCAGAAACCGTGAGATCATGACCTGAGCCAAAACCACAAGTCAGATGTTCAACCAACTGAGCCACTGAGGCACCCCTTCTGTGCACTTTTTAAAAAATCCCTTTGGTATTTTAAACTTTGGCTATAATTTTCTCAAATTTAAGTTTTCTCTCTGGAATTTTTTATTAATGTGAAGATCATTTTAAAGACTATAAACATGAATGTGGAATGATTTCATATTTCACATCTTTCACTTTAGGGATTCAGTAAAATTCTGTTTCACATTCTACTAGGGTTGTTCTCATATTCTAATCCAAGATTAGAAGGCAAGCTACTCTCTGCAGTAAATGATGCTGTGGCAGAGATTAAGTTAATGAGTGCCTCTTTGTGCTTAAAATACCACATGTGCTTTTTTGTGCTCAGAAAATAAAAGAAAATGTAAAAGAATTCTATCTGGTTTCTTTCTTTCTTAGGAACATTTTATTTTTTTGTTTGAATAAGCAAAGAAAGTTGTGTTTTCTTTTCCAGAAATATATAAAAGACAAGTAAATACAAATGGAAATGGGGGGGTGGGGTGATAGTAGTATTTGAATTTATAGCAAGGGATTAAAAATTAGAAATATTTTAATCTAAAAAGGTGGAAGAAGGAATTGGTTAATATTTGATTCTCTCATCTTTTAACCTTTAGATAACATTTATCTAAATTTTATCTGGTGCAACAGAGCACATAAGAAAACAAGATGTGAAGAGTGAAAATGAAATTTTTTTGGAGGTTATACCTATAGTATAACTGAAAACTTTGCTTCTCTATAGATGAGAGTTTTGCTGTTAAACACAACAAAGAATTTCTCTTGTCTATGGCCAACAGAGGGAAGGATACAAACGGTTCACAGTTCTTCATGTAAGTACTTATGCTATGATCATTTAAAATATCCATTTCTTGGTGTGTCATTTCTCATTAATTGGTAATAAATAGGAGAGGGATCCATAATGAGGAAAATTTGTGAAGGGCGGGAAACCGTGAATCATTGAAGAAAGCAAAATTGTTGAAAGGGAAAGTGAATTCTACTGCTAAAATTTCCAAATTACGAAGATTTGTCGGAAGGACACAAGAGCCAGCCTGAAGGGTATGGTTCCCACTGGCCAGATTAGGACAGTTTGAGCATCAAAAGAAGTTATGATAGTATCGTATTATCAAATAAAATAGAAATCCAGCAGCACATACAGGTATAAATAATAAGGGAAAAGGAAAAGCTGTTTCTTAGTAGAATGTCAGCTAATAAATTTAAAAGGAATGCTAGGAAAGTTACCATTTTGCAGTCATCTCTATAATGATTGATTGAGGAAAGAATTATCTATTTATAGGGCAAGTTTAATAATAAACAGAATATTTACAGAGTATCTCTATAAATTACTTGTTTACAAAGAATGAAATACAGTTGATCCTCATTATTCAAAGATTCTATATTTGTGAATTTGCATACTCACAAAAAATTATTTATAGCTCCAAAGTGGGTACTACAAATGCTTCCAATTCTGACCTCCAAAAAATTTTGGCCAGGGCTCTTTTCAACAGTGCATATTTTTTATCATGTCCTATTGGCACAGGTTTGCTCTCCTCCTCAATAGCTTTAAACTCTCCTGGTCTCAGAAGAAGTTAATCTGTAGGCACCATATGGCTTATTTCAGTGATTTACTACTCCATATTTGTAATTCAATAGTGAAAAACCTGGCTCCCATTATCTTCAGAATTTCTGTCCATTTGCTGAATTCTATTTAAAAAATTGATATTCTGAAAAGTAACCTACTAACTAGAGTTACTATTTATAGATATTTTTTATTTTAGACTGAAGATATGTAGTTAAGATACTGTGTTTAAAAGTGACTCAGATTAGTACCTTTTGGTGTGAATTTTCTGTAGTTTTGTGGCTCAAAGTATGTTAGTTTATTTGTGTATGATTATATTTCTCTTACCTTGTTTTGATTTGTTTTTAGCTTTTTTTTTTAAGTTTATAAAACATGATTCAAAAAGAATACCTCTTCAGTATCACTCCCACCAAATTTTACTCCATTGCCATTCCCCGTATTTTCATCCCATTCCCATCCATCCATATTAGTAACCAAACCTCATTAGTTTCTGGCTTATCTACTTCTGTTTCTTTTTACAAAAATAAGCACAGATACATATATATTTTCTTTCCTTTTTTTCTTACACAACAGATAGCATACTATATACAGTGTTTTTTGTTCTTTTCACTTAGCAGTATATCCTGGAAATCACTCCATATCAGTTCATAGAGATCCTTTTCATTTGTTTTGCAGCCTCATAATACTCTGGTGTGTGAATAGACTCTGGTTCATTCAATGAATTGCCTTCATACGGGTCTTTCTGATTTTTTAAATGAAAACAATTTATATCATGCTGGCTGTAGAAAAATTAGAACACAGATAAATAGAAGAAAAACATTCCTATTTCCAGGGCATCTTTCTTTGCAATAAGAATGTGACCTAAATGTTCTATACATATTGCTACATAGTGTACTCTAGTATTAACAGTATGCAAGTGCCAGTGTCACCAGGTTCTCAACAACACTGAGTGTTATCATTTGTTTTCCTTTAAATTAAAACCCAGTGCTAACCAAAACTTCTCTGTTAAGCTTATGTAATCCTTCACATACATTCTCAGAATCTTCACTCTGTGTTGATTTTTTCCTTATCTCTCTTAATTTCTAGGTAACCCTTCTTTAACTTGTGTTTTATTTTTTTTATTACTTTCGAAGAAGCAACTTCAATTTTAAATCTTAAAAATTTTATTTACTGTGGCAACATAAGTGATGTGAAAATTAACCATTTTTAAGTGTATAATTTAATGGCTTTAATTATATTCACAATATTATGCCACTGTCACCACTGTTTCCAAAATGGTTTCATTGTCCCGGAAACTAACCCATTTCTTTTTACCCTCAGCCCCTGGTAACCTCTATTCTGTTATCTGTCTCCATGAACTTTCATATTCTAGATGTACAAGCAGAGTCATGCAATATTTATCCTTTTGTATCAACCTTATTTCACACAGCTAACATGTTTTCAAGGTTTAGCCATATTGTAGCTTGTATCAGAACTTCATTCCTTTTTATGATTGAATATGACTCCCATTATAGGTACAGACCTATGATAATGAATAAACATGAATAATTCATGTTATTATAGGTACAGACCTATAATAATGAATAAACCTATGAATAAACATTTTGTTTATTCATGTTCATCTGTTGGTGGACATTTGGATTGTTTCTGCCTTTTGGCTGTTATGAGTAATGCTGCAGTGAACATTGGCATACACATATTTGTTTGAGTCCCTTCTCAATTTTTTAAATATATACCTAAGAGTGGAATTGCTGGATCATATGGTAAGTCTATGGTTAGTTTTGTGAGGAACCACTAAACTGTTTTCCACAGTAGTTGCATCATTTTACATTCCTACCAGCACTGTACATGAGTTCCAATTTTTCTACTCAATACAGTTTTTCACCAATCTGAAAATGGCCATGAAAACACAGAGTATTGGTTTAGGGTTATAAATGAATTCTAGTGGGCAAGTGAACTTGAAAGCATGGAGTCTGTGAGGTGAGGATTGACTAAATCTAGATGCAAAATATGCGTATACATTGAATGTAGCATGTAATACAAATACACATATGATATACACAATGGTATTTACATCTCTAGATGGTTTAAGCAACTTCAGGTGAGCATAGCTGTTAACAGGAAGAAAGCAATAAGGAGTTAGCTTTACAAGTAAGGTGAACTTATGAAAATACATGTACATGTTTGAATTTTTTAAATTAGTATCATGTGGGCTTTAACCAACAGCTTAAATTGTGTCCCTTCTTCCAAATTTCTGATGCCTTTCAAAAAATTTTTTATTTTAATGTTTATTTATTTTTGAGAGACAGAGTGCGAGGGAGGGAGAAGCAGGAGAGAAGGAGACATAGAATCTAAAGTCGCTTCCAGCTCTGAGCTGTCAGCACAGATCCTGATGTGGGGCTCAAACTCATGACCCAGGAGATCATGACCTGAGCCAAAGTCAGATGTTTAACTGACTGAGCCACCCAGGCGCCCCATCTAATGCCTTATTTGATAAGATTCTTTAAAATAATAAATGATATACAGTGTCCATCTTCAATCTACACCAATACCAATCTTCTTAACTACAAAACTTTTTAAAGTTTCATATGGAGTAGGAAAAAAAAGATTTTAAAAAATTACTTCTTTGCAGGACTTTTTGCTTATTTTGAGTTTTTTCAAAAGCTTTAATCCAGACTTCTGTCTTTAATGTGAAGTTTGCTTGTATATCAGGAGAAATAAACTCATAGGTGTTTGGATCTTAGGCAGGTAACATAAGCCAATAAGCCTGCTAGGACAAGTATCTAAACTGATAATCCTTGTATTAAAAAGATAGGAGTAGTCAGACTGACCAGTTATTGCCACACCTTCCAGTGTTCCAGAAGGTCTGAAATCTGAATTTTTGAGTGAAAGTATCCAGAATTTTTAATGTTGGCAACTAATTAAAAATTTTATAAACACTATATGGACCCTTTCTGTTCTGATCCAACAGAACATACGTGAGGGCTATCTGAATATATGTAGTAAGTCTCCTTTTATCCCCAGGAGGTACGTTTCAAGGTTTCAAGGATTCTCCACCCCGCCCCCTAGTGATGCCTGAAACTGCATATAGTACTGGACTCTATATGTTACATTTTTCCTATATAGACATACTTATGATAAAGGTTAATTTATAAATTAGGGATAGTAAGTGATTAACAACAATAACATTAAAACAAAATAATACACTGTAACAAAAGTTATATGAATGTGGTCTCTATCAAAATCTCTTACTGTATTGTACTTAACCTTCTTGTGAGGATGTGAGATGATAAAATGCGTACCTGATGAGCTGAAGTGAGGTGAATAACAGGCATCATGATGTAGTGTTAGGTTACTATTGAATTGATAGTATGTCAGATGGAGGATTGTCTGCTTCTACACTGTGATTGACTGCAGGTTACTGTGGGTGATGGAAACTGGAGAACAAAACCACAGTTAAGGTGTTGACCTAAATTTTTAAATGTTTAAAATGTTAAGGTTGAAAAGCACTATTGTTAAACCCATAAACTAGTGGAATCTTTTGATAAATTGTGGTCTGTCCATACAATAGAATTTACGAAAATGATAGAACATTCTACATGTTCAGTAGGAACCCGGTCACATGCAAGAAACATGAATGAAGTAACACCAAAATGTCAGCTTTAATTACGTGTAAGTTCTCAACAGTGAGTAGGCATTACTTTCATGATCAGAATGAGTTTTTGAAAATACATTATGTAGAAAGCATCTTGAATTCTTTCTGTTCAGCTTAAGGTTAATATAATAAAATTATATTATGTTAAAATAGCATGTGATTTCTTTGTATGCAGCTTTGTTTCCAATGCAGTTATTTTCTTTTCCTTTTTAGAGATGCTAACTTTGTTTTTCTCTGACTTTGTTTTTATTCTATCTGATGACTTCCAAAGAACAACGAAGCCAACTCCTCATTTAGATGGGTAAAGATTATTTTAATTTATTTTTGACCACTTTAAATTAATGTTAAAATTAAAAGCTTTTATTTAATCATCTTTACTTGACTCTAGGCATCATGTTGTTTTTGGGCAAGTGATATCTGGTCAAGAAGTTGTAAGAGAGATAGAAAATCAGAAAACAGATGCAGCTAGCAAACCATTTGCTGAGGTGCGGATACTCAGTTGTGGAGAGCTAATTCCCAAATCTAAAGGTAAAAACAAGTATATCTTTCTGATAATTCTTATGCATATTAAACAAGCAGAGACAGTAAAAAGTTGGCATAAAATTCATACTAATGTGAATATAAATATGAGGCATTTGTGTTTTCTGAATGTCTTTTACCTTCATACTTTGTTCATTTAGCATGGAGTCATCTAATTTTCCCTTCAAAAATTTTTTCATGTTTATTTATCTTTGAGAGAGAGGGAGTCACAGTGTGAGTGGGGGAGGGGCACACACACACACACAGAATTCAAAGCAGGTTCCAGGCTCTGAGCTGTTAGCACAAAACCCAACACAGGGCTTGAACTCAGGAACCATAAGATCATGACCTGAGCCAAAGTCAGATATGCTTAACCATCTGAGCCACCCAGGTGCCCCTCTAATTTTCCCTTCTTATTAATTTGCTGTAATTCATCCTTCTCCTTCCGCTTTGTTTTGGGGTTTTGGTTTGGTTTGGTTTTTAACTGTAGTTGTCTAAATTAGCATGATAAATAAATACTCTTCTAGAGAAAGTCACAGTGAGGGGGACAATGACAATTGAAGATTGTCATAACATAGATTAAGAAATTTAAGGGAATAAATTATTTCCCTTCATGCGCTACTGAGATTCAGAAACATTTGGAATATTTGAGAAACTTCTTTACATAGACCAGGATATTTGAAATTAACATGACCAATAGTTCGGTATGATTTTATGGAACTTTGTTTACTTAATATTTTTTTGTTTACTTAAAATTTTAAGTGTTTATCTATGTGAAATATGTAACTGCCATTATTTTTGACAGATATTGGGTCCTCTGTTACCCTGAAAGTAATGGGGAGAGATTACAACTGTGTAGAAAACATTAAAGTAATAAATGGACTCTATTCTTCCTATTCTTAATAGTCTAGGGAATAGTATCTGTACTTAGTTTTTCATGTTTAACAAGTGTGAGAGTCATCTGTAATCTTTTCTTTTTCTTCTTTTTTTTTTAATTCATTTATTTTTGAGTGAGAGAGAGACAGAGAATCCCAAGCAGGCTTCGTTCTGTCAAGCACAGCTGTACTTGGAGCTTGATCGCACAAACCGAACTGTGAGATCATGAGCTGAGCCAAAGTCAAGAGTCAGACTCTTAAGCGACTCAGCCATCTCAGTGCCCCTATAATCCTTTCTGATCCTTAGAATAACCCTTTAGTATTTCTCCCATTTTATGGATGAGGATAGTCAAGCAGATTAAGTTATTTGCCACATCAGGGAACCAAGCTTGCTGGTTCCAGATCTAGAGCTTTTTCTATTATGTGTTGGTAACTCATTAAAGTCTTTAACATTCCTTTCAGAATTGCCTTAAGTAGCACATTCTGTTCTCAAGTTTTAGGTATACTCATTTCCTTTGTATCGTTTTTAGAAATAAGCATATTTGTTTTGTTTTAATTTAAAAAGACCCAAGCTGGTCATAGAAGCTTATTTTAAATTTTGTGTCTCTGAATGCCACTTTGATTCTGATAATTTCCTTTTCTTTACTAACATATTAAATATATATATATACCTTGTAAACCATTGCAGGAATATTGCTGCCACTCATAATGGGACTGTTTATAGAACTTGTTGGCGTTCATGAACCTGGCTGTCTGTCTTTATGTACACACACCATGTATAATGTATGCTTTGTGTTTGTGAAGATACAGTGAAGAATGAGATGTTACTGAGTATCTTACATTTAAAAAAGAAATAAAAACAAAAGCAGTCTGTATTAATGTTAGCAAATTTTACACCCTGACACTTCATCCTTAAGATTGTTAGTATCATTAGAATATTTTCATTTAAGGCATTATTTCTTCCCATATCATCTAGGAAATCTTTTTTATTTTCTACTAAAAACTAGGGATTTTTTCCTTGTTTTTATATTTATAAGATATCTTGTGTTAGGATTTTATTCTCTGCTTATAAAAGTTAAGGGTACTGTGATGTGTATATTTAGAAAGAAATTGGGGTAATAAAAAAATACACATTTTAAACCATAAGCATAGATTCTCTAATAAATTTGGTGTAAGCATTCTTTTGGTAATAAAAGGTCAGTGTTTGAATATTTGCTGAAAGAATGAGAAAGTTAATGAATGTCACTCTTTGTATAGTATTATTATTTATGTCTTCATAATGTATTTTCACATGGTAGAGAAGTGCTAATTTTCCTGATGCCATTATGACCAGGTAGTTGTGCTGAAAGTTGATGTAGCATCCTAGTGTATGTTCCTCAAACTCTTGCTAAGGAAGCATACCGTGCCCTTATCAGTTTCAGCAGGTGGGGAGGGAACATTTGGCCCTTTATTAGTGTCTGCCCAGGAGTTCTGCACAGGTCAGATGTGTTTTGAGCTGTATTCCCATGACTACTCTGTTCTGGACCATACTGTGGAAATAGGAAAAGATCATTATATTTGAAGTCACAAAATTTGGAACCTGTTACCTTACAGTCCTTTAATTACCATTCAGAACATTGGTCAGAGTGGATCATGCATCTGTATAATCTTTTTTAGGCAGAGCTGTGTCTTACATCCAATTTGTAAGTTTGATGGCCTCCTTACACCTTTAAATTGGAAACAGTCAAAAAGCTTTGTGCAACACTGTGGTGTTCATCATTATATTTAAAACCTTGTTTTAGAGATTTACACCCCAGTTTAAAAAGAAATAAATACAGAATTTTTTTTCTTTTTCTAACTTCCTGAAAGAAAACAAAAAGACTTCTGAAGAATTCTGACTGTCTGGGCCCACCTGTATATGGTCTTGGTGAGTCTGGGCAATCTTGGGCCTTTCTCTATTTTGCTTTTGCAAAATTAGAAATTGTGTTTTTTGTAGCTATTTGAATATAGCTGAGAAGGTTCAGAGTTAAGAAAAAGAACCTTCCAACACATGCAGGAATGGAACACTGGAGGCTAATAAAAACTTCATTTCTGTAGAGGCTGTCAAGGGACAGAGTGGAGGATAGAACACAGACCACTAGAGAATGAAACTAGTACTGAAGTCAAGGTACTTACTGATTTTTCAGGAGTTGGCATGACCTTACTGATTTTTAAAAGAGAAGTCTGTACACACCTTGACCGTGCAATAAGGGATGGGGCCATTGCTATAATACAGAGTTTTATATTACAGAAACACAAGTGCTGAATTATAGATAGATATTCAATAGATAGTTGTATGAGCAGAAATTTTGCGTATATATGGTAGGAAACATTGCCTGGCAATACACAAAAAAGAACACAAAAGAAGAAACAGCCAGTAAATCTTGTACTCAGGAGACGGTAAGAACACCAGAGATTCATTTATATAGCATCAGGATCCCATCCGTTGTTCTTAACCTAGAGTTAGGAGCAGTGGTACTTTTACTGGAAGATAGTGGGATGTTAAACTTAGAAACTGTCTAGAAGATGAGACTAGTAATATGAAATGAAAATACCTAAAGGAGACCTATTTTAGAAATAGTTCTATTCTTTATTTTAGATCTTATTTGATGACACCCTAGATATTTAATATAAAGGTTTCATTTGAAATTCATTGGTATAAAACGTATAGATCTCAAGTAAAAGTGAGTAAGGCAGCATTTGATTTTTTACCTGAGATCTTTACAAGTAAAATGTTCTGGAGTTTGTTTTTTTACTTTATTATACTAGTAGAGTCAATACCTAATTAATAACACTGTACCCTACCCTACCCTCCGAAAAGGTCAGTGTAGGGGTTTGGGACATTCTTTTACATAAGTGATAAGCAAACTACATAACCTAAAAATCTAACTAGAAATTGCCCAAAAGTTTAAAGTGTTATTCTTTGTTATTCCTTTTCATCCATTATGATTTTTAACTTGCATTGTGGTTTTGATTTAAGCAGTGTTTCATTTTTACCTTAAGGATAATTAAATGTTTGTTAAAGATACTTTGAAATAGATTTTGTGTAAGTGTTTAGGCAAGTAGTAGGTTTGTTTTTTGTTTTTTGTTTTGTTTTTGGCAGGATCCCATTATTGTCATACTTGGAAGTTTTAAAACATCTGCAGTTTTAAAATTTAATATATTAATTTGGTTCAAACTGTAGAGGCCAAAAAGGATAGTCAATGAAAAGTCTTCTTCCAATCTCTGCCCTTCAGTTTTCATTCCCACATTTTGTATATCATTCCAACTATATGTAAATTTTGGTCATGAAGAATAAATTCCTAAAAATGGAATTAATAGATTACAGGGGTTCTGCATTTGTAATTTTGGTAGATACTGCCACTGAATATAAGAAAATAAATTACCTTCTGGGGCACCTGGGTGGCTCAGTCCTTTAAGCGTCTGACTTTGGCTCAGATCATGATCTCACAGTTTGTGAGTTTGAGCCCCATGTCAGTCTCTGTGTGGACATCTTAGAGCCTGGAGCCTGATTCAGAATCTGTGTCTCCCTCTCTCTCTGACCTCCTCTGCTCACCCTCTCTCTCTCTTGAAAATAAAATAAGATAAAATAAACATTAGGAAAATTACCCTTATGTACTTTGCAAAGTCATGTATTGCTAAACTCTATATAGCCTTTTTTTTTTTTTTAATGTTTGTTTATTTTTGAGAGAGGAGAGGAGACAGAGCATGAGAGGAGGAGAGGCAGAGAGATTGGGAGGCACAGAGTCCAAAGCAGACTCCAGGAGCTGTCAGCACAGAGCCCAACATGGGGCTTGACCTCATGAATTGCAAAATCATGACCTGAGCCAAAGTCTGACACTTAACCGACCAAGTCAACCACACAGCCCAACAAAAAAAACTCTATAATCTTTATGAGCCTAATAACAGATTTGGGGATTTTTTTGTTTGTTTGTTTTTTGTTTTTTCATTTTTATTTTTCTTGAGAGAGAGCGGGGCAAGGGCTTGGGGTGATGGGTAGAGAGAGAATCTTAAGCAGGCTGTGATGTCAGTGCAGACTACATTGTAGAGCTCAATTTCACAAACTGAGATCATGATGAGCTGAATCAAGAGTTAGTTGCTTAACCAGCTGAGCCA